AATATAATAAATAAGATGAATAAATCGATGTCAATTGCAAAAAAAATAATTGTTTATGTTGAACATATTTAAAAAAATCGAATAATAAATAAGTTGTAAATATAAATGAAATAATTTATTTATTAGTATAGAATTATTTTAATGGTAATTCAATAAAATTTTTAATTTATTTTTAATAAAAACTCGATAGACAGATAGATAGATATAGAGTTGAATAAATGTTTAATTAACTAAAGAATATATTCGAACAATTTATTATCGATTTTATTCTTTTTTAATCATTGATTTAGTGTCAATTATTTTCACAGAGAAACATCTGTGACATAAAAGGTCGATCTTTATTATAATATTTCTTCTTTTTCTCTTTTTCTTTAGAAAAATTTGACACACACACACAGATAAATAATAAATAACTATTGCAGATATATTTCTAAGACTAGATAAAATCGATAGCTATTTAATAAAAAGTCTAATAAACAAACAAGAAATAATTCGATGGATTTTTTAAAACTTATTTATATAATAAATCAATGATATAAATGAGTGGTTTATTTTCTTGTTTTCAATCGAAAATTTCTCAATCGTCAACAGCACAAGAAATAAATATATTATCATTAAAAACAAAATTACCTCCTAAAGATATTCAAGAATGGTATTTACGTTTTGTTCATTGTTATCCATATGAATATTTATCACGTCAACAATTTATTAATTATTATCAACAATTAATTGATGAACATAGTATAAAAATAAAAGGTTTAATAAAAGAATTATTTGATGTATTTGATTTAAATAAAGATAATAAATTAGATTTTTCGGAATTTTTATTACTTAATGTATTAACTAATGATGGATCAATACATGATAAATTAAATGTTTTTTTTTTTTATTATATAATTATGAAAAGGAAAAACAATGTCACGAGATGAATTAAAAGAATTTCTAAGAAATATGTTTGATCTATTTGATATTCCATCATCAAAAATTCATATTAATCAAGTTATTAATAAGATTTTTCAAAAAAATTCTCTTAATAAATATGATAAAATCAAATGGGATCAATTTGTTAAAGAAATTCTTAATGATGAGACTTTATTTCAACAATTAATTTCATTAGATTTTAATCAAGATTATTCTCAACATTATTCATTTATTCAAACGTATCAAACATTTTAACTTTTTATTTATCATTTATATAACATAGATTTTCATAGAAAAACAACATTTAACACATTAACAATAACCTATTTAATAAGATCCTGACAATAAACAAATATGTTAATATATTATAGAAATATTTAAACAAATAAATCTATTTAAATGACAAATATATATGAAAAGAATCTTCTCAATAAAACTTTTTTTTTTCTCTTTATCTTAAATGATCTTCAAACGAGAAAAAATCTCGTTAACTGATCAAATTCTTCTCTTATTATTATTTACTTTTTGATTTCAGCTATCAGAGATTGCCTCAAAAACTCGTTATTTATCTATTTCAAATAGTCTCTTGTCCTATACGACTATTATCACGAAAATTTTCTCTTCGCTTTTTAACTTTAATTATTTTCATTATATATCAAATAGAATTAGTTTATTTTCTAGATAAAATGGTTTATAGGAGTCGAACTATTTATTATTCTTTTGTTTTTTTCCTTTCTATGAGATTGTTTGCTTCTATCTACAAAATAAGACTATCTATAACAATATATTCTCATTATGAAATATTGAAAATAGTTGTTGAAACTGAGTTAGAAACCATTCAAGATTTATTTAGAAGTTCTATAGAATGGTATTGTTATTATGAGTTTAATTTGATAGTAAGACACTTTATTGAAAGACATTATGCTCATGAGTACAAGAAAATCTTGTCTTTTTATTGATATTTTATCAATTTTGGGTCGATTAATAGGAGTTTCGAATAAAACAAATTCTATCTGAGAAATGATGATTAAAAATAAAATCAGTTAATCTATATCATAGAATCCTACGAGAAGTTTATTTTCATAGAAAAAATGATTCACTTCCATAAAGTCAATGATAAATAGTTTAGTTTAAAAAAAGGCATCCGTTATTTAAACCGATTTAAGACAGAATGAATTCGTGAATATTTTGGTGAAAAATGTTAGATATAAAATGGCATTGTAATGCTTGTTAAATAAACTATAATATTTAATAATTTTGATGGAATTCGAATTATTTTATTTTTATATGATATGTTTTATCTCGGTCTATAAAAATGTTTACTTCAGTGAATTATCTCGATATCTATTTTCTATAAATAGATCCAATTTAGAGAGAGAAATCGAAACTTTTCAACTATTCATTAGAACTAATAAATAAATGAAATAATTGTTTGATTGTTTCTATGAAAATTGAGTTGGTTGCTGATTAATTGAATATAATATTTGTCAAAGAATAAATGTGAAGATAGGTTGATTTATTGATTGAGTATATATGAGAATATTTAACATGTATAGAAAAAAAAGAAAACAAGAATTTCTATATAAGATATAAATTTAATTTGTCTAAAATAGTTCTTGACAATTTATTTCTAAATGTTAAATAAAATCTAAATATTAAATTGATTTAATAAAAAATATTTATTTTATTTCGGTTTGATTCGATTCATTTTCGAAAAGTTTGAATTATTTATTTTTTTATTTAGAAAAAAAAATTATTAATTTTATTTAATTAACAATGTTTTTATATTTAAAGGATCATCGTTGTTAATATTTGAAATAGTATTGATTGTTGATCGTCGATGATTCGATGATATCCAATGACATGAACAAATGCTAATAGCAGCTAATTTATATTTGATTTGTGCACAATAATTTAAACAGTATGAACCAAAATCCCAAGCAAAACGACTTTCATTCATCTCAATTGTCGAAAATAAAATTAATAAAAGAAGAATTTTATTCAACGATGAATCAAATCGGAGAGACATTCCTTTTTTCTAAAACAATTTTAAATCGATTTTCATTAAATTTATTTTTTTTAATAAAAATTAAAAAAAAGAAAAAAGTCTTATCAAAGAATCTATTTCCATTTTAAATCTAAAGTACGCAGAATATATTTTGGAAATAAAAAAAAAAACTTATACATATAACAAATTGACTATTATCGTTATAAAACGAATCTAAACGATAGATACTTATAAAGTCTCATTTATTTTTCACATTAAATTGATAAAATCAACTCTATGACGATTGATTAATTCAACAAATGTTAAAATCATCTTTTTATTGATAAATACATTAGAAAATAAAAATATCTGATTCCTACTTGTTAAAATATTTTAGTAAAAAAACTAAAAGAAAAAAAGTTATTGTTCGATGAATAATAGTTGAAATGTTATTTAAATTTAAAAATAATCTTATTTAATAGAAAGATATTATCTTATATATTTTATTGTTTCATCTGCCAACGCTTTATTTAAATAAAAAAAAAAGAAAAAGAATTAAAAAAAAAGATTTAGATATATAAATCGTTGCTTTTCTTTTCTCTATTTCAATAAAACAAATAAACGCCTACAGATTTTTTTTCCATGGAAAAGGTTTTTATTAAATAAAATGTTATTCTAATTCATGGATATGCCTAAGAAAAAAAAGTGGGGGTGCCAAGGATATGTCAAAGAGGAAACGTGGGAGTGTAGAGAATTTTTTGTGAGTCGAATATACGTATATGTTATTTTGTAAAAGTGGACGAATGATGAACTTTCTTTTTTCAATAAAAAATCTGATGTTGGCTGTAAAACACTTTAAATTTTGTAAAAATGGGTAGATGCGCATCCGACTGTAGCCCCGTCCGTTATGGTCAAATCTTTGTTCTCATTGATGTGGAATATGTTGAAGACAAAATAATTGATTATAAATTTGATCTTGATAAAACTTTTGTCCAATTAATGATTGTAAACATGTAACACAAACACAACAATCTGAATGCCAATAAAAATTTTTATATTCAACAAAATGAATAGAAGTTAAACCATCAGATGTTAATGATTGATCTAAATTTATTTTAAAATAAGATATTTTTTTTTAAATAAATTTCATTTACGATCAAATGTTATTGATTTTTTACAACGAGCACATTTATAAGTAAATAATAAATTATAACATGATAAACAAATAATAGGCCGACTCCAATTTCCACTTTTTATATACAAATCTCCTTCAATTAAACGTTTTTTACATTGACAACAATAGCATCTAGATTTATAGAATTTATTCATTTATTTGATTATAAAATTCGTTCACTTACGAATAAACTTGTTCAACTTCAACATTAATATTAGTCTGACCACTTTTCTAAATAGATATTTATTTATTTAGATATAGAACATTTTTTTATCCCATTATATATTCTTTAAAAGAATAATTCAATAAAACAAAAACAAAATCTTTAAATATTCTTCTTTGTCAAATAAATAAAAATCTATTTTAATCTTGAATTAAATCGGATAAAAAAAACTGTAAAAAAATATTTAAATAAATTATTGAAAATACTTACAGTAAGAAGATCACTGATAAAATATTCATTTAAACTTCGTTTATTATCCATTATTTTATTATCAAGGTGACCTTTTTCTTCATTTCTATTTAATAGAAAGACAAAAAATAAACTAAAATATCTTGTTTAAATAGACAATCATACCCAAATGGAAGACCTTTTATCAGAAATTCTACGCGAGTATTTCCTGAATATGTTGATGAAGCACCTGTTTTTTTTATATATATAAAATATAATTAAAATAATATTTATTAAATAAATCAATATTACGTTTTATTTGTTTAACTCCAATAATTAAATTGTCGCATATTATCTAATAATAAAGTAAAAAAATTTGAAATAATTAATATGTTAAATGATATTCATACATGTTCTCCTCGTTTAAGAACTTTTTTATTATATTTGTTAAGAAAGATTTTTGTAAAAGCAATTCTATCAAATGATTCTTTATTAAAAAAATTATTTTCACGAATTCCAAATAAACGACGATAACCTCGACGAGATCTACAATAAAAATATTAGTTTTTTTACTCTTTTTTTTATTATATTATAAATAAAAAAGAAAAAAACCTCGGTTGTAATTCAAGTCGAATTTCTGATACATATTCTTCTTCCATTTAAAATAAACAACCAAATGAATCTTTCAAATAACAAAATATGATCGATATCACGTCATTAATATATCTTATCAACATATTTACATGCATATCATATAGAACAAGACCATTTATCATTCTTCTCTCTCTTATAACAAACATATTTCTATAAATTAAACAAAACTTAATAGATTTATTAGAATTTATCTCATAGAATAGAATTGGTTGTTTTTCATTTATCTAATTGTTTAATTCTAAAATAAGATAATAAATATAAGAAAAGAAAATATTCTTTCTGATAATTATTCATTCACAATCCGAATCAATGTCTTATTATCACATAGATATATATCATCTATATTTACCTTTTCTATTTAATTCGACTTTATTTTCTGAATAGAAATTTTTTTTTCATCTATTTCTGTTTTTATTTAAAGATAAATAATCAATAATTATCTATTGAGAATAAGATTCATTTGATAAGTCCTTTCAAAATAGTTATTATCATAGTTGTTAAACTTTTATTATTATAGAGTGTCTTCCCATCAGTTTACATATTGTCTTACATTTAAATTTATCTTTTTTTTCTCACTATCGGATATTCGTTTATTTTTTTTAATCAATTTATAATTAATAGGAGCAAGTTAACAAAGAAAATGAGAGTAGAGAGCTTTGTTTATTTCGATTATCGATCGGATGTGAGTATTGGTATGAGTTAGCAATAGAAGAGGGAAAATAATGTTCGTTGAATGGTTTAATTAAAAGATAATTTCCATATAATGGATTATTATCAACTATAATAGAAATTCCTGTTCGATAAAGTTTAAATTAGAGATAGATTTATGTAATTATTGGCTGATTCATAGAAATAAAAGAAAAGCATTTGATAAAAGTTGAATTTCTTTAATTTGAAATGAGAATAATCTCGGTTTTATTTCTTAAAAAATCTTCTAATAATAATGATTTGGAACAAAAGAATGTTTCGTATTTTTGATAAATAATCGAGCAAAAAAAGAAAAAAGATAAGATTGATTTTCAACATTCCAACTTTACTTATTAGTTTTTATAATAAAAACTACTAACGTTAATTCTGACGATAATATTTCTAATTATATAAATAATAAATCTGATTATAGTATTTATATATATCATTATAATAAATGTTCGAAATATGTTGATCGATATTCAATAATAGTTACACCAGAATAATTCTAAAACAAATTTACTTTATTTATCATATTGATACTATAAAACTTCTAGTTTATTTATTAATCGAACAAAATCGAAATAATCTTATTTATTTCCATAAAAATCAATAAATTGAATTCGTCTTTTGAGAATATTTATTAATTATATTGATTATGATGATCAACTAGTTAATCATAATGAATTAATTCGTTTAGGAAATCATATTGATTTATATGAATTATTTATTAAAAATCTAACTAAGAATTGTTATCTTTATCAATCAATATATTATCATCGAAATTATCCTCAATGATATATAATCAAAGTTCAATTGTAAAGATAAACCTCTTTTATTCATCTGACTATTCCCCAATAATTGAAATAGCATTACACGTTTAGTATATGTTTGAACTCTAGGAGAGAAACTATTATCAATAAATCACTCCTATAGGATCATCTTTCCATTATATAGTCATCAAACAAGTCTAAAAAAAGAAGCACGTTTTAGTTTTATTATCCTATTGTTTGTAATAGTGTCAAGCTGTAAGGCTTAATTGAGATTTTTTTTTTAAATTTTGACTTTGTCCTTGGAGACTAACAGTAACAAGCTCAATAGTGCTAAAAGTTCGGAAGATTTGCTTTTGTTTTAAAGATTTGTGGCGATTTTTGTGCGCTAGTTGACTTGTTATCATTAGTCGTTTGAGATAAAAATAACAATTTTTCTGTTAAGTGCCTCTATAAGACTCTATCAGGTGATATTCTCTGTCAAACAAAGGTAAAATAAAATTTTGAGAATGAAAGTCTAGGAAAAATTCCGGTTTACCAAATGTGCTATTGTTTGAGGCTTATTTTATAACTATATTGTGAAAAGATCATTCTATAGAGGTAAGAATTTGCCGATAGGTTTTTCGCGTATAATCCGAAAATGTATTGATAAATAGATACTATTTTAATCTTTGTTGACGAATAGAGTTCAAGTGGAGAATGAGAGTTGAAAATAATTGAATCATTTAAAAATGTTTATAGTATTTGTAATTGGTTGATAATATATTATGAAAATGCATGTTCACGTAAAATTCTTGCTCCACCATTATTTATTTGTCAACATTGATTATTTGGAGAAAAATAAAATTCTCTATTAAATAATTCTTGTGAATATTGATCATTAATAACTTATTCTAATAATCAATAATATAAATAAAATCAAAGATCAATTCATATTAAAATTATTCGAAGTTATATTTGATTTTTTTAAATTTTTTATTATAATAAATCTTGATTAAAGATTTGTATATGTTTATTAATTATATTAATTGTATTTATTGTTTTAATATTGGTTTATATAAATCTATCTGTTAAACGATGTTCGAACATTGATTTAACAATAACAAGACGAAGATTTTCATCGATTCGAACTTTATAAAATTATCTTGAGATCAATAAGAGATTATTTATTTAACAAGATTTTTATAATAAGATGTCACTAAACAAAAAATATCTTACCAATAAACCTTTGTTTTTTTTAAGAATATGATTCCAGGTCAAAATAAAAAAACCTGATGGGATATATTTCTTGACATATCATTTAGTCAAGTATTGATCAATAAATAAATTTTCATCAAAACAGAAAAAAAATCTGTATATTAACCAGATGGTAACTTGTGTGAATGTCATATGAGATTTGATCTAGTTGAAGACCTTGATTTAATTAATCTCAAGAGAAAATTTGACTTGAAAAGTTTTAATCAGTTGAAAATATTCCTTAGTAGAAATTGATTACTATTTCTTCTTTTTATTTCTACAAACAAATTTGTCAGACTTTGAGAAAAGAAATATTGTTTATATGTTCAAATATCCTTTTTAAAATTCTCGATTAGACTTAGTCAGACTTGTAGAATAATTTTTGATGAGTTTTTATCTGATTCGATAGACAATCTTCATATCAGAAAAAGATCTTAAAAAGAGTTCGTACTCATGGTTAATTTATCAAGAATTCTCATTGTTTTACTGAATCTTTTCCCTATCCGTAAATATTTAGTAAATAATCAAATGACAAACTATTGGCCTGAAATTTTGCCAAAAAAAAGGGTCAACTGATTATTAAAATACCATAAAAGTTTCAGGCAAAACGATTTTTTTGAAAAAGTTTTATTTGTTGTAGCTAAAAATTTCTGCATATTTGATCACCAAAAATATCCACTAAGATACCTCTGGATATGGGCAAAAGACTTGTTGTTCACTCAGTCAATTCTAAAACTCTACAAGGTCTTCTATTCTTATGTCACAATATGACACAAGTTTGTTTTGCACGAGCCTTGAAACAAGACGATGAATTATTGGAACTCAGTAACAAACAAACGAAACATATTTGTGAGCAGATCGAACGTGTTAAATTATTGCTGGAGAAC